GGGTAAGAAAGTCATGCTCAAAGTGGTATCACTTTTAGGGGTAAAAACAGAGTGTGATTAAGCGGATGTTCTGCAGTGCAGGCTCAGGGTGAAGTCAGTCACTAGAAGGTTATTAGCAGGGCACAGGTAGTGGAGAAAGGACTTCAGCAGTCTCTCATCTTTTTTAGCTTTGCTAAAATGAGGAGAATTCTGTGAGATAAAGTATAAAAGTCTGGAATGTATTTAGTAAATAAAAAGTTATCCCAAAGGAGGATAAAGTAAAACAGAATAATGGTTCAGTTTTTCAGTTACCTGAACAATCTCACAACATTAATCCTGGGTGCTGAATACCCACTCTGTGCACTGTGAAGAAATTTCCCTGCTGAATTAGTGTCAAGTCCTGCTCTTAATACCAGTTTATTTCTAGCTGCACTTGATAATGTGAACAAACACCTCTTCTCACCCAGGTGATGTGATAGGGAATGTTACACAAGCAGGCGTGGTTAGAAATAGCTCTAAAGGAGAAGTGGCTCAAAATTTTTGAATGAAACTGTTTTATGAGGAATTGAACAGTTTGTTGCATGTTGTGTATTTACTTCCATCTTTGCAGGCTTCAAAAAAAAAACCAACCCAACAACTTTTTTTTGAACATTTAACAAGATATTTGTAGAAATGCAGACTTAAATTATGGCCAGTATTGTGTTTTCATGATATCCTTCCTTCTTCTTTCTCTTCATTAGCTGAAAGAAATTATTAATGTCAAGGTAGGGGGAAACTGGGCACTCCATTTTACTTTTTTGCTATATTCCTTAATTCAGGAAAAGTTATTAAGTGAAAAGGAAAAAAAGCACAACAACAAACCAGGCTGCCTCTTGTTCTGTGGCAGAGAGTGAAAATATTATGTGCATTTTGAAATTCAAGATGTAAAATGCTCATCCTGAGAAAAACCCTGGGGAAAAAAAAATGGAAAAGTGAAAGGAAAGAAGACAGTTTATCTATTTGTTCTTTCTTTATTTCCATTTCGGGCCTCGTTGTGGCTGGGCTGGGCTCCGTGTTCTTCCACACTGGAGAGCAGCTGGTGTTACGAACATCAACTTGGCCTCTGTTTGTACCTTGCAAGGCTGTCACCAGCTCAGAGCTTGCGGGGCCCTTTCCTTTCCCAGGGAATCCTTCCACTCCAGGTCTGGGGCTGCAAAATTGAGAGACAAAAGCAGTTGAATCACAGAGAGGCAGGCATATTGAGAGATGGAGTGTCCTGCTACACCAAGTGATCCCCTCCCTGTGCCTCTGTGGCTTCTTATCTTTAATTTTATCTTCTTTTTTCTTTTCTTTTGCCCTATGTGCTCCCCAGTTCGAGTGAGGGCTTTGGCATCGCGGAGACCTGCGGGTGAGGGTGGCCGTGTGCCGGGACAGGCAGCTCAGGTGAGCCCACCCAGCCACCCCCTGCCCTGCCCTGGGCACCCACAGATGACAATCCTTCCCTAAAAAGCCCCATTGCCACAGCTGAGGGCACAGGTGGCCGTGGGGCAGGGTGTCCATGGCCGTGCTGGCACCGTGGCAGTGACAGGCTCCCACACCCACCCAGTGCAGCCCCACTCAGGTTTACACCCTGGCAGTGGGATCCTTTCAGTGCCCATCCTCTACAATTTTAGGACTTTCAGTGTAAAAAAGCAGATAAATGAGTTAAAAACAAAGCTAAGTGGGAATTCCTTGGAGAAGTGGGTTTGCCTCTGCCCCTTTTCCATCTCAGATTTCCTAGGAAGCCCCTCAGAAAGCCTCGTGGTGCTGCTGCAGCTTGGTGAATGCTGCCAGTGATTTGGGGGGGTCATGGCAAACCTCCTGTCTCCAGGCTTGCTGCTACCCTGGGGAGCTGTCAGACCAGCCTCAGAAGCAGAGTGAGATACTCAACAGCCTCTATTCATATTCTGCGTGGGACTTTTAATGGATTTAATTCTATTTTATTATTATGATTTAAAAGGTACTCTTCAAGTTCAAATTACAGCTTCAGCTTAGATTCATCTCTGTGCTTTCTGGAATAGTTTTGCCAATTTACAAGTTAAAATAAAATCCTCCTCCTCCACCCCAAAGTCTCCAATGCAAGCTGTGAGGCTGAGCCCCATGCAGGGACCTGTGGGCCTTTATTTGCCTGTTCTGTGTGAGCAGAAAATTGTGTTCAGGCAGGGAACGTGGTGGATATTTAGCTGTAAAAACCAGGAACAAGCTAGGAGTGACCATATAAAGTGAGGAGTACCTTAGAGAGGGCCTTTTAATGTGATGGAGCAAAGCAGACCTGAACACAAGCTGAAATCTGTCCCCATATAGAGGATGCTGCACTGAAACTTTCTATCCCTAATTCTGTGATCTGTCTTGCAGGAAAATCAAGACCAATTATTTCATTGTTTCCCTTGCTTTTGCGGACCTGCTGGTGTCAGTGCTGGTGATGCCGTTTGGAGCCATTGAGTTGGTTCAGGACAACTGGATCTACGGGGAGATGTTCTGCCTGGTCCGAACGTCCCTGGATGTCCTGCTTACCACAGCATCCATCCTGCACCTCTGCTGCATCTCGCTGGACAGGTATGAGCAGAGGAGCATGGGGAAGAACTATAGCTGCTTTAAGTTTTTTCAGTGTTGGTGCTTGTCAGCAGTGGCCAAAGGGCAGACATGACCCTCCTGGGAAGAGCAGAGCAATAAATCTCACCTGGTAGCTGGTTTTGGAGCTCTCTGAATCCTCAGCAGTGAGGGAGAGCTTTGAAAGGAAGAAGGTTTCTATGGACAAAGCAAGCCAGCTTCTTGGCCACTTTGCAGCACAGCTCTGTTTGCATTGCTGATCAGATGTGGCACAGCCTCTTCCTCAAAGGAAGGAAAAGATGCCCATAAGATGCATCAGAAGAGAAAGTGGAAGAGACATTTCTCTCCGTGCAGGGCTGGGTGTGCTGTGCTGAGCCCTGCCTCCCAGGCACCCAAACACTCCATTCTTTGGCTTTCTCTCTTGAGCCAAAAACCATATTTGACATCTCTTTCAAGTGCTGAACTGTCCTTCCTGCTGCCAACAGCCATATGAGCAGATGAAAACTGAGATGACTGAATGGCACATAGTGGCATGTGTGGCATCATAGGGAGCAAAATATAAAGAGCAACCTCTTCCCCTCACCAAGTTTTCCAGGCTGTTTTTCTAAGGCATCCATTTGCACATCTCCACTACTGAAGGCTAACAGGGAGGTAAAGAAAGATGGTGAAAGGGACTTGTAGGCCTGGTGGGGGATCAAAAAAACTTGATTATCTTTTAAACTTTTCTCACAAAACTTAAATGAAGCCAAAATCCTAAATAATTTATGGCAAACAGTTCTGGTTTACTGTTGTCTGCAGCTTTTCAGGGTAAACAGCAGAACTTTCCACAAAGAGGAGCAAGAATTTTTCACAGGATAAATACTTACAAGAAAATGATGTGACCAGCTACTCTAATAAGCAATATTTTGAGCTTTCATTTGAGTTCTGTGCAGAGATTTCAATACCTTTAAATTTCAATACCTTTGATACCTTCAATGAATTTAAATGTCAATACCTTTAAAAATACTCTTATTTAATATTACTAATATGGTCAGAACAACCATAATAATTCTTGTCATCATGACAATTAATATTTTAATAGCATCTTTCATCCAAAGAGTCTGTACCCAGCCAGACTTCCAAAGAAACTTGATTAACTTCTGCAGTGATGGGCAGCACTCCTGGGCTGTGGGAGAGAGGGGCAAGGGCACATGCAGTAGAGTGTCCAGAGAGGAGCTGATGTGTAATAACTACAGCACATTTCCTTATCAGGAAATTTAGATGGCTGGAACACAAATGGGAAGCTCATTATCTTAAAAATGTTGACAAATTGCGACTTTGAGCCAATTACCAGTAAAGCAGATGTTATGCACTGTGCTCTGGATGTGGCCTTGTTATACAAAATGTTGCAGTTTGATTCTCCAGGCACTTAATTAAATGCAGGGGGTCATGGAGAGAAGGGAAAATGTTGTTTTCCCCTCTCCCCTTCAGTGACAATTTTTGGTTGTTTTGGGGTGTGTTTTTTTTTCTGCAGTGAGAACTGAGTCCCAAATAGTGTTAAGAGGACAGAATAGGTGAAGAGGTTGCCTGGGTTTCTGTGCAGGGAAGGATGGCTCAGCCCACGGTTGAGCTGTTCTCCATCACCACCGTGTCATCCATCCTGGCAGCTGGGCTGGAGGCTCTGCTTCCTTCACACTGCTTGGTTTGATTTTTTTTCTAGCTGTTGCCCTTCTGTTCATTCAGACTTTATGGGAATATGCTTTTTCTAGCTACAGTTTTTCCTGTGATTCATTTATTTCCTGCCTTCTGTTTTATTTCAGGGCATACAACTGGGTTTTTTGTAAAGAGACTGGATGGTTAATCTAATCCTCGGGACTCAGTTTGGAAAGTCATTCTGTTTAACATTCTCAGAAAGTGCTGTTTGAAAGACTTTTATCTGATATCACCTTATATCTGTTTCCATTGCTGCCTCTGGGGAAAAAAAAGAAAAGAAACAAAACCATTAAGGCTTTAATTCTCAAAGGCATTTGAGAAAATCTGGAGAAACCACCACAGGATAAAATGATCTTACTGGTCAGACACAGGGAGCAAAGTGATGCAGAGACTTAGGGACACTCAGTCTTATATGAAAAAGGATTTTTCCATGGTATCAGAGTTATTTCAAGGCTCACTGAAGCCAAATTTGCTGTCACTGGGTTGTACTTTTTCATCATCTCTTTGTTTTGCTAATACAAAAGAAAGATTTAGCCTTGAATTATTTATTTATTGCATGTTTTATGTATACATATCTATTCTTTGTGCCTATGCAATAAAAATAATTGCACTGCATAGAAATAGGCCAAGAAGCTATGATAGAGTCTCCAAATACAGTTAACCTGTCAGAAAAGGCAATTTTCTTCTCCAATATTTGCAATACAATTAGCAATACAGTTACTTCTCAGAGTCTTGGAGGAAAAAACCCAACCCAACCAACAAATCAGAAGAGAAACAACCAGGTCCTAGATGTCTGTATTCTTGCCTTAGATGCACACCTGGCACCTCCATGCTACCACAGCATCCTGCAACCCACTCTCCTTCCTCCAGGTCTCTGGGCTGCATCTCAGCTTGTGAAGCTCTGCTCCATGTCTGTATCTCAGCTGGGCTGTAGGTACAGTGTTTGTCTGGGGTGTTCAAAGCATTTGCAGATTTGCTGGGTAACAGACCTATCTGTGTGTTTGTATATTCCACACTAATCTTTCTGGAATTCAAACATGCCACATAATCACTGCTAAATAACAGCTAAAGCAAAGCAGATGTATCCAAAGAGTTTTGGAGCACCAGAGTGACAGATGCTCATTGCAGCATTTACAAACATTAATTAACATTAATGTACTGTTCAGACATCAATTAGCACAATCCCTTGAGAGAGATGATGCTTTAGCAATTCCTGAACACCCAAACCCCTGGTGCTCTGCAATGCAAGTCCTTCTGCAGAAGAACCTTTGCTGCCTCCTGTTCCCAGCACTGTGTCCCATCACTCATCTCTTTTGCCCAGTGTTGCAGCCAACATAGCCAAGGCACAGGGGCTCAACTGGCTCGCCAAAGGGTGCTTGGCCCATGGTGGGACTCAAGGTCAGGATGGAGCAGGATGTCTGTCTCAAGGACAGGGAGAAAGCAGCTGTGCCCAGCTGTGCTCTGCAAAGCATCTGCCAGCTGGCCAGGGGCAGGAGGAAGTTATTAGTGAGGAGACTGATTAGGTTTTAAATAGCTATCAGTAAGCAATGATTAGGCAGTCACCAATCTGATTATATGACACAAACTCCAGCTATAGTTTTGAACCAGACTGTAAATCCCCTGTGCCCTTTTCAGCTGGAAAGGCGCCTGGTTTGGTTCCGCTCCCAGGTGCTGGGGTGGAGGAACAGAGAACCAGTACAGAGCAGGGCTGAGCAAGGGCAAATGGAAACTGTCCGTGAGGACTGAGGGACACAACACGTCACTGCAGAGTTATCCCTGCTGGCACTCAGCTCAGCAAGGAAACTAGCACGGGATTGGCAGAATTCAGGTCCAAGAGCAGTAAGAAAAACAAGCGAGCGAATGGCCCCGGCACGGCCTGAGGGATGCACTGGCCCTTATTCATCTTTACAAACCGTTTAGAAATTTGGTGCTAATAACCCTGCAGACACACCGACCCACAGAGGGACCATGTAGGAGTCCTCTGTCTCTGTTTGGCAACATACATTTGTTTGTATTGCTAGCTAAATTTATCCAGTTCCAATTAACTGCTCTCTTTTGCATTTTTCTCAGTGTAATTATCTCAACACCAACAGGCTGTTGTTTCTCTAATAAGAATTTAATTTTGTTAGCTATAATCACTTTAGGACTTTTTCAAACTTTTTTTTTTTCTCGACCAGCAATGCATAATTTTGTTTTATTTGGCAGAGTCAGAGACCACAGCTTATTTGTTCAGTGGGCAAAAGGAAAAGGAAAAAAAAAAAAGTAAAAATCTGGTTATGCAGAGGCCAGAATCTGGTTCCACTGAAATATCAGCAAAGCCAGTAGTGCTGTTTCAGTTTCATACAGGCACAAATAAATTGAGATCCTGTCTCCTTGGCCTTTGATGCTTGGTGAGAGCTCAGCTGAAGGTTCTGGCCCAGCCTGGCTAACTGAGGGAGGCCTGTGCCAAACCACACTCAGATTTGGGTCTTCTGGAGTAGAGCTCCAAAAAGACAAAAAAAGAGATTTTTCTAAACTAGCCAGATCCTTATATATAGCTTGTGTCCTGTGAGGAGAAGCAGCTTCTGAAATAGGTGGTCTGAAACAGGCAAGCCCTGTTGCCTGCAAGGTTTTTCTATCAGTACTGGTCAGTATGTTCAGCATCTCAGCTGCCTGCCTGGGGGCAGCGCCTGGGACACCCCATCCCTCCTGGGTGCTGGATTCTGAGCCAGATCCCCTGGGGTGGCAGCTCATGGAGTCAGTCTGTCTGTTTGCTGCATTTCTTTGGCCTGTCCTTCCTTAGGAACTCACAAACAAATCATTCCCCCTTGGGTGTTTAAGGCATGGTTCACATACAGGCACAGAGCTTGTGTGGTCATTGCACCCTGACTTTGGGAGAGAGCTAATAGCATCCACAGTTTTCCCACCATCTTGTCTTCTTTTTTCTAGTTTCTTTAAGGGGGGTTAAAAAAAAATATTCCATATAAGTATTCAGTAAATTTTCCTTGGCTGATTTCAGCCCCAGTGATGAAAAAACATATGGTATGTATATAATTTTATACATGCACATGACACCAAATGGTCTTAAATGTGGGCCACCCACAGAACCAGTCTGTTTGGTAAAGTTGGGTGTGTATTTGTCTGTGATATCAAGGAGCTTCTTTCAAGGTAGTATCTACATTCCTGTAGCTGAAGTTGCATTGTATTGCAAACCAGGGGGACACTTTAATTTTTCTCCAAGGGCAAGGAATTACCTGATGCAGCCAAGTAGTTCTGTTTCTGTGATGCCCAGATGGCAGTCGTAGAGCAGTGGTCACTGGTCCTGAGGCAGGATC